AAGTCCCACCCTTCAGCTTGACTGAGAATTGTGCACTGTGCAAGCGGCCAATTTTGTCAAATGACAATCAAAATTAGCCATGATTATAGGTCAATAGGACAGTGGTGGACTTCCTGTTGGCTCTGAGACTCTTTCAGTTTGCAATCCAGACCAAAAACTCTAGAATTTTGCAGGGAAATCTAGATTTTGAGGCTCTAAATCAAAACTGGGAGAACCACAGATGTTGACAGGAAGTCATCCACTGGAGGACTTCCTGTTGGATCTGGGACCCTTGCGGAAGTCAATCTAGACCCAAAAACCCTTGATTCTCGCAGAGAAATTTGGATTTCAAGGCTCTAAACTGGCTCTGGGAGCCAAGACCTGCAGATGTTGACAGGAAGTTGTCCGCTATATTCCAGGACACAAGAAAAACTGCAATTTTTAGTCAGGTTTGCTGATTGTGTGTGAGTTTTGAAAGCGTTCAATGTGGGGTCTTGCTTCAAAATGGACGCTCCCATGCATTGATAAACCTTGTGAGACTTTCCATCTCAATCAGCAGGTCAAGGGGGTTTAACAAAGGTTGGTTGCAGATCACAAAAACCAGAGGAACATGAACTGCCTCATAATCCATGTCAAGATGAATCAGTGGTGTTCACAGCTAGGATTTTCCAGGAGTGGTTTGGGCAAACCCTAGAAATCCTCAGAGTCAAAATGAGTTCAGAATATCTGCTTGACACCCCTCATCATGACAAGCATCTGGGGAAAATCCAGTCAACAATCCTGGAAACAGTTGTTCTTGGCCAAGTCAACAGCTGAAGCTTAGCAACATGTGCTGGTCAATGTTTCAACATGTTTGGTCTGAAAATTCTCCAAGAATGCCTTGTTTGGCCATCCATGACTTTCATCATCAATTTCGGGGATCACAGCTCATGACAGCTGCTCCACCAGGAAAAAACAATGATCACTTGATGACAAGTGACATCAGGCTAAGTTCATCATGCTACCCAGTATGTACCCAGCTCAACTCTAGTTCAGCCCCCTGAAGAGCACAAAGGGGCCATTGAGTTTGGATTGCAGTACCACTGGATCTACAGTGGAGTTGTAATCTATGCTACACAATGTCATCTGTCATCTGGTGAGCATTGTTTTTTTCCTGGTGCTCCTGAATCTGTTTGGGATCACCGGTCATATCCACTATCCACTCACATGGGCCAAAAGTGGGCAGGAACCTATGCACCCCTGCCATCTTGTGAAATTTGCACCCCCCCCCTGAAAGTTTGCCTCATAAGTCCCCCCCCAGCAATATTGAGAGGGATTTTCAGCCTGTTTCATTTGCACATCCTGGAAGATTCACACCTAGTTTTGGTTTTGAAAATTCAATGGGAAGACTCATGGACAGGCAAACAAGGTCTAATTTCAATTCGACATTATCCTTACAGGACTAGAGATGGCCGCTTCGCATCCGGATATCCGGCTGCTTTTTCTAGGGAAACCGGAATCCGCACCCGCATCCGCATCCGCCAGCGGGTATCCCCCCGCCTTAGCGGGTATCCTCGGATACCCGCCCTTGAAAGGGCCGGCGAGGGACCGGCTGGAAGGGTTTCCTTCCAGCCGGCGAGGTACATGCTTGACGGCTGGAAGGATTTCCATCCAGCCTTCGAGGTACATGTACCTTGCCGACTGAGGAAACCCTCCTGTTGACGAGGTACATGTACCTTGCCGACTGGAAGGGTTTCCTTCCGGTTGACGAGGTACATGTACCTCGCCGGCTGGAAGGGTTTCCTTGCGGTCAACAAGGTACATGTACCTTGTTGACTGGAAGGATTTCCTTCCAGTCAGCGAGGTACATGTACCTTGTTGACAGGAGGGTTTCCTCAGTCGACGAGGTATATGTACCTCGACAGCTGGAAGGAAACCCTTCCAGCCTCGGGTATCCTTTGGGATACCCGTATACCCGCCAGTGTTTTGCGCAAAAGGGGCCATCCGCACCCGCTGGCACTGGCGGGTATCTGCCAGGGGATAGCAGGTATCCGCGACAGATACCCTTTGACCATCTCTATACAGGACCAATTCCAAATGCAACAGGATCAGAATCAACAAAGTCGTGTTTGAACCCAGCAGTGCCATGTCATAGGAAAACTTGCTAATACTATATATGTCCTGATTTGCCAGGTGGATATTGCTGTGTCAGTTTATCCTAAGGGGTAGGAGTTGACCAATCACATGAGAATGAGAGATGAAGATACAGCTGTTCTCAGAACTCTTGTCACATCCATGAGGATATTTGGATGCCAAATTGGACCAGATTTTCCTATCTTTGTGCATCCAAATTCACAGTTGGATGTACTAAAATCAATTCATGCTGCTTATGCTTGTACAGGCAGTGGCATACATATACTAAGGCCTAGTGAGCCTGGCACACAATCAGTTTTTTGATTTGGCACAATTTTAACTTCAGAATGGTTCCTTTCAGGCAATTTGGACCCTGGGAATCCCTTCCGCAACCAATGGTACAGCCAGTCCAACTTGGAGCTGGGCTGACAGCTTTCCACCAAATTGCTGGACTAGAGATCGTTCGTCGGTACCCGTTGCTAGGTACCTAGTACCGCTCGGCGGGTACCGCCCGCACCCGCCTCGCACCCGCCAGGCGGTGCCGGGTGCGGTGCCGGGTGCCGGTTTTTTGGCAAAAAAAGGGGAGGTACCCGGGTACCGCCCCCAAGAGTCTTGACCGGAAGGGTTTCCTTCCGGTCGATGAGGTAGATGGACCTCATCAATCGGAGGGGTTTCCTTCCGGTTGATGAGGTACATGTACCTCGTGACCGGAAGG